AACACTCTGGGAAGCGAGTTCAGTACAGAAGAGAAAGGAGTCCATGGTAAGAGGAAAACTTGTTAATATCCACCATGGGGCTGTATATTGCTAATTACAGAGACGGAACTTGCAGCCTGTCACAGCTCTTCSAGCATCTCCATAAAGCAAGATAACTTGGCTACCTCTAATTCCTCAAGATTGTTGCTTCAGCCTACCAACTCACCTGAGCACTAGCACAATTCAGAGAATCCTCTGGGCTGCAGAAGTATGGCACCATTTTTCRGAGACAAATTAATTAAAGAGMTGAAAGAACACGTTTATCTTTRTTCCTTCATGTAATTTCCGGAGACMCAGAAATTACATGAGGAGACCAGCACAGGCAACAAAGAACTGGCACCTGTGAGCAAACTTGCCCAAGAACTACCTCAACATCTTGACTCACACATACCTAAGTAGAGTCCACATTCATCAGCTGAAGGATATTCTGACTAGACAAGGAATCAAATTGTTGTTTTGTTTTTTTGTTTTTTTTTAATCTAGCCACTGAGCTGAGAAAGACTGAAAAAGTTGAACAGAAATCCAGGTAATAATCCTCCTGATGTTTCTAAGTTAAACTTTCATCAACATGTTGTCTTAATACAAGGGGCTCAAAGATTCCTGCATCCAGCTGTCTTTCCTAATCACATCTCAATACGCAGACTCCAGTGAAGCTAAGAGATTTTGTTTGTATCTCCATGCAGCACTTGGAACATGCAATCATACTTCCAGCAACAAAAGCAAGTGGAACCTCAAAAAGGTGTTTCTTGTATTAGAAGAAAGAAGAGGGAAAGACTACAAAATCAGAGGGGTGCTCAGCCCAAGTTTTGGCATACRCTTGAGATGATAACCATCAGACTATCCTGGCCTTACAGAATAGGATGCAGCAAAAGGGAAGCTAATGATTAAACAATGTGGTTCAATCATTCTCCAAGGAATGTGGTAAAAGCTAGAGAGCCTAAGTTTATTTGCGATTTTGTCACCTTGTCAACACTGGGTTTAAATATCAGACCTCAATATTTTTGTAGGTTATTAAAAATATCCATCAGTGCTTTATCAAATGTAGAATATGACTAGACACAGGAAAGACAAGTAACATACAAAGGGCAACTAAATCCACACTTCTTAAAGACAAGTTAGAGACCTACACACAAGTAGTCACCCAACAGAAATAGAAAGGCAGCGGCAATTCTTATGCATGGCTAACAGCTCATCCATTTCCAAGAGAAATATCCATGTATATTTCCACATTGCCATGGGGCTGAATCAATCTATGTATCTTGATATAAATATTAAGATGGAACAACTCCAGGTTTGAATAAAAGACAATCTCACCCTTCTAGAGAAAAAGGTCCAACAAGATTAATATTCAGTCTTTTTCTAAGAGGTTTCATGCTGCACACTAATTCTGTCTCACCAAGCACAATGAAAGTSAACTAATTAGATCACCACACTCCTTCTACCACATTGTTTGCTTCARGCCAAGAGCAATCCAGCTGTGATTAAGATTCTGACAATTGATGCTCTGGAACAGAACCACAGTGTCCTTACACTGGACAAAGAATGCCTTGAGCCTGCCATGGACCAGCTCCACTTCACCAACAGAAGTTTCATCTACATGCTGTAATAAATAGCATTTTGATCTGATATTTGCTAATGTCCTTCACCACATTTCATCTGCCAAAGACAGGCATGAGTTTGGATGAGTCAAGCACTAGTTTCATAAATTCGCCAGTTTCCAGGAGAGAAACAACAGGCACACAGCTCCCTGCTCATCAGCATGGGGTACCATGACTGCCTTACCCCACAGCAGCTGCTGTCCTCTAACATGTGAACTCCTACCTGTCACAAACACATGCTGGCAACTGCTGGTAACGGGTGTTCAACTGCAGCTTACACAATGTTTACACCATTTGCAGGTTGAGCATCAGAGGAAAACCCTCTCCCTATATGATCACTTAGCTTCATCAGTGGTGGGTCACCAGAATTCATAAAGGCTCACACAGGARAATTTCCACAAAGCATCAAAACACCAGAAAATAAATGCTGAGCAAAATATGAGCTATTGCAGAGGCCACATGAATAATTTACACTCATCCCTTAAAACTCAAAACCACTTTATTAATTATCTGAAGCTGCTGGGAAACATTTAGCAATGCCACAGGAAATGGGCATCCAGTTACTGAAATTAAATCCAGTTTGAGAGAGTACATAGGGTTTTGCTGCATGAAAAAAAAACAACATAATATTTGAAGAACTTCACTGAACCACCCAAATAAGGAGTCACTCATTTGGCAAAATTCCTAATTTCTAAAAAACTTTTAAGTGTTGCAGTATTAAGTCAGTAAGTTTTTATGATGACCCATTTTTCATTCCTGCCATTTTCATTCTCCCAAGGCAATCCCCAAATCCACTATAAACATCAAGATAATTTTTCTACACAAGGCACAGGCAAAAAATATGGAAGACAGGTAGAAGATGCATTGAGTAGGGAAAAAAACAGCAGTCCAACCACATGACAGCAACTGCAATAAAGCCCTTGAACCAAAAACTGGCAGCCAGAACAGGTTAAGAAACAAGTAATATGAGAAAGAATTTCTACATGGAGAGGGAATAAAAGGCTGGGGTTAGAAACACAAGATACATTCAGTTCAAAGCAATGGTTACAAGCTGAATCCCTCCTTTTCTATTTCCCCCCAAATAACCTAAAAATTTCTCCAATAAAGTGAGGACAAGAGGAAGCTAATACCAGTACAGAGAGCATCCTACCTCTGGAAAATCTCCTGCAGGGTTTCCCTAGTGAAGGCGTTGCTGTCCTGGAAGACATTGTTGAGGGCATGGAGGGCACACARCTCCCTACGCTGCTTCTCATGGTAAATATGCTGTGGCGGTAGCTGGGATGGCTCTGGTGATTCCGATTTGGTCTTGTCACCTTTCCATGGCACGCAACTCATTTTCTCGATGAGTGGATGGGGAGTAGGTGGTGAAAAATGAAGGAGGCTGAAGTTTTTGCCTCCACAGTCACAACAACAGCCCACTGCCCCTTTCTTCTGTGGGCTATTGCTGCTTCCAGCTCAGAAACCCTCCTCTTGTGCTTCAGTCTAYTCAGTAATTGCCTCTGACGGCTGGTTTTAGAAACCATATGAAGATCTGCAACATATTTTTCCTCCCTCCTCCCATACCCCATAAAATGCAGTATTTTCCTCCCCTCCACAGAAAAAAAAAAATAAAAACGTCAAAATATATGATTCTCCTTAGTGTCAAGGTACAAGCTGGAATTTATCACATCGCTCCTTTTCTTCCATTTCCTTTGGTTACAGTGGCACTAAAAAAGATACCCAGACCAGGTAACAAGGAGACCCACTCCCAAAGTGCCAAAGGGGACAAGATGAAGCCAACGCCTGGTGCTGCCTATAGGAGCACAGGGCGGTTAAGCACTTATCAGCTGCATTCTTCCATTCCTTTGGGAACGACTGAATCCTGGCAGGAAGATGCCAACAGCTCGAGAAAGGAAACCGCTTCTTGCTAGGCCACGAGAAGCCCAAGTCCAGGCTGCCGGGAAGGCGATTCCTCACAGGTCACCCTGCGCCCCGACAAAGGGAAGTCTCCGTTAGCAACGAGAGGCAGCACAAAGCCCGTGGCAGCGTGGGTAGGGCAGGCAGGACCAGCCCCACGGCCTGCCTCGCACTTCTTCACCACGGCCCTCTCCACCCTACGCTCTTACAACCTCCACCACCACCACCACCACCACCACCAAGACAACAACAACGACGACAACAGTGACGACAACAACAACAACCCGGACGGGAGCCGCTTCCCACAGCCAAGGCCCAGCGATCCCCGCAGCCTACCGCGCAGAGGACGGGCCCCCGTCTAACCCCCACCCAGCCCTTGGGGGCTCGCTGCCCGGCCGAGGCGCCCGCCCTTCCCCTCGGGAGGGTTGGAGGGGCCCCGCCGGGCCGGGCCAGGCCGGTCGGGTCCCACCGCCGCCTCCTCACCGCCCGCTCGGCCCCTCGGGCCGCCCCGCGCCGGCGCACGCGCGCGCCGGGCCGCGCTCGCGCTACTCTCGCGCACGCACGCACACACGCGCGCGCCCCCCGCCCCCCGCACGCGCCGACGTCGGTCCCGCCCCCTCTGACGTCACGGTAAAACGAGCGGGGACAGAAGTGAACGCGGTCCCACCACCCGCTGAATAAACAAACATAAATCCTCCCCCGGCGTCGTTCCGTGCTACAGGCTGGAGTTTGCAGCGGGGGTGCTACAAGCGTGCGTACGGCCAGGCGGAGGATCGGGATAGGCACCTCTACCCGCCGCTCAGCAGGGATCACCTGCCAGCCCGCAGAACCCCTCAGCCAGAGGGTTTTCCTCCTTGGCGCTGGCGGTGGCCCCCGCCGGGAGTCTGAACACTGTGGGCTCGCATGGCGAACAAGCGTAGGGGTGTTCTGTCGGGAGGCCAGGGAGGGAGGGGCGGCGGAGGTCTTTGCGGACTCCGGGAGCTGGGGGCACTACGGGCCAGGACACCAGGGACCCGCGGACTGTACGGACACCTGGCGCGCTCCTACCCTGTTCAATTGGCTGACGCAACTGTCAGTGAAAAATCTCCTCTTTTTCATTGGCTAGGCGSGGGGAATGCCTACCCACGAGGGCGGGCTCTGTGGCGGCACTTAGTCCCACCCAGTCCCACGAGATCCCTTATTTGATTGGCTCTCAGTGTTGTTTGTCACGAAGAGGAGCTCTCCTATTGGACAGTCGGCCCCGGACACGTCGAGCGGGCTCTGTTGTGTGTGTGTATGTGTAGAAAACAAGCCGAGCTGGCAGTGCTTCTCCCATTGGCTTCACGCGCTCGCAGGGGGCGTGGCCTCCCCATGAATAACCACGACTCCACCCGCTGTTGCCATGGCAACATGCAAATTTCGCTTCTCCACCGCCTGTGATTGGCGGGCACCGCCTTGGCGGGCCGGGGGCGGTGCCGGGGCGGAGGGGCGGTGGGCCGGGCAGGGAAGGGAAGATGGCGGCGGCGGAGCGGAGCCGATCCCCGGTTCCAGGGGGCTCCCCGGTGCCGGCCTGTATGTTCGCCCCGGAGCCCGGCTCCCCGGGCGGACGGCCTCGCATGGCGGCGGCCGCCTGTCCCCTCCGTGCCGCCCTCGACGGCGAGGACGGCGAGGCGCTCAACGGCGAGCCCGAGATCGACCTTACCAGTAAGGTAGGCCCGGCGGGGGGGCGGGCGGCGGCGAGCGCCATCTCCCCGCCGGGCCCCCGCTGCCCWCCTCCCTGCCGGTCGGCCATGCCCGAGAGGCTGCCCCCCAGCCTGGCCGCCCCTCGCGCCTCAGGAGAGCGAGGGCTGGGGTCCGCTTGCCTTCGCCCGGACGGGAGGCTCCCCTGATCGTTCTCCCGACCTAAGCATCACCTGCACCTGGCCCGGCGGCGGAGTCAGCGGTGCTGTGTAGAGGCGACCGGGAGAAGTGCAATAAAGTTGTTCCGTGTCCGGGCCGGGACAAGAGGGTTCTGGCAGGCTGCTCCGCCTCGGCTGGGGTGAACGCCAGCCCGCAGCCGGTGTAGCATCCTCAGCAAGCGCAGGGTTTGGAGCTGACAGCTGCTTCAACGTCCCACTGACGTTTGCCCTCCGCGCTGGGTCTCTAGTTATCTCTGCGGCCAGTTGTACTAATTCCCGGGACTTTCTCCACAATCTTAAAAGAAGGTCAGAGCTTGTAACTTCTGAGCAGAAGGGCCCAGTGATGGGGTGCCTTGCTCTTGCAAACAGGGTTCAGTCATCACAAAAAAAGTCTTGTTCACCATGTGCCGTTCCTTTCTAGGATCCCAGTGACAAAACTGTGGTGGTCTTATTTCTGTCAGAACCAGTTCTCACTTTCATCCTACAGGAAGGTACATTGTAGTAATATGTGTGTGTCAGGGCCTGCCATGGACTACATTAGTTACCTTTTCACACTGTCTTTTTTTTTTTTTTTTTCCTGATTGGATGATTTGTTTAATATACCTGTGTACCTTTTGCTGCCATGGATTTGATGTACTGTGGTGCTACCTCCTGCTCTAAAGTCTCCTGAAAACTTGTAATTATGTGATCCAGAAGTCAGCATGGCTGATGTTTCCTCCTAGTTTTCTGTCGTCCCTCCTCTTCATGATTCCAGCTAAAGTTGTTCCAGAGTCCTCAAGTTTCTTGCCCTCTGTGCACGGAGAAACAGAAAGAGGAATTGTGTCTGTGGACATGGAAACATGTTTTTTGAATGGATCACTGGATATTTAACAATGTGGTACTGTATTAAAACAAACGTTATGAAGACGTCTTATAAGATAGTAAAGAACAGAAACCAAACCAGTGGTATCTGTTGAGCCACCTGTTTGTGCCTTAAGGAGCTGGACAAGATTTTGTACAGGAGGCCAGTATTGATCTGTGCTTTGTCTTGGATGTGRCTGCTGTGGAAGTGGGCCAAGGAGGATGCCAAGGACTACATCACTGATTCTTGACAACCAGGAACCTGACCAAAACTCAGGCAAAGAGAGAGGAGTGCTTTTCTCCCACAAACTCCCATTTGTGGTGTCAGTCTGTCTTCCATTCCTAGAAATCTTCAGTTGCTATGGAGGTGGTAGGTAAGCATTTTTTTGACCTTTGTTACAATTTACTTTTCCATGGAGTACTGTACACCTGCTTTCTTTTCTCTGGACTTTTCATTCATCCCTATCTTGGATGAGAGCTAAAACTGTGAGCTCTTCTCCCTCTTTCCAAGTTAATCTCTCACTGTGTGCTCAAAACAGCAATCCCATATGGTGAGAATGCAGTAGCTAACCTGCACCTTCCTGGCACTCCCCATCTTTTCTGTCTTCCCAGTTGAATTATTCCACTCCAATCCCTGCTGAAAATGGGGACTCCCACTGCAATCAGTTTGTTTGATAGTTGCTACTTCTGTCCTAATCCTTCTGCCCCACCCCCTGACTGTGTTAATTCTTTTCTCCTGATCCTCTCCCTGTGCATTCATTGTTAGGTGGACTCTTTTTAGAGTGGAGCACTTTGGAATTCTGTTATCAAGTGCACCTTGTCAGTTGGTCCGGCAAACAGTTCTATTCATCAGCACAAATTCATTATCATGTTGATCTTAATGGGTGTTTGTTTTCCCCTCAGTGCCAACACACTGCAGCAGTAATCAACTTTGAGGTCAAAAAACATAGCACACAAAGCTATTAGTGATGCTGATACTTATATTAGATCTACATGGACAACAGAACATTAATAGCACCTGAACMATGTATGTCTACAGGGAAAAGATATTGCAGAAAGTGCCTTTCCCCCCAACTTCTCAATGGCTAATGGTGGTCTTCCAACCATGCAAAATGTCAAGGCTCTGTTTTTCCAATAACGACCAGCACTATGTACCACATAGTATTTGGTTTGCCCTTAATACTTGTAATTTGTCTGCCTCATGGATATAGTATGCTTTTTTTTGTAAGGACTGCCTGTAGTAGTGCTGGTTTAAACCGATCTCAGTCTTGCTGGTGTCTTGAAATTGCTGTTAATTAAAGCTGTGGCCTCTTGCTGTTGGGCAGTGCAGAATGGCAGAGTCCAGGAATAAGCCCAGGCAACTGTAGCTGTTACCACCTTTGGTGTATGTTAGTCCCCAAACTGATCAGAGAAGAGGCAAGCAAAACCACCTCCCAGAGATTGGGAATGGACTTTAGAGATACCTCAAGTTTGAAATGCTATGTTTCCTTCTGGTGTCTTAAGAATAAAACAATAACAGATTTTTACTTTTTTGCCCTACAGGAAATGTCAGGTTGCTAGACCCACATGGCTCCTACCGATAACTGCTCAGTGCCTGACAAAGTGGAAAGAGCAAAAGCGAAAGTCTTCAACTTTGTGAAAACCTCTTAAAAACCTGCAGTCGTAGCATGGAGGGGGTTGTTCAAAGATGAAAAGCAAAAAAAGCAGAGGGACCCAAATGGAGGGCTTCTCTTCAGCCAAGGAGAACGGCAGAGAACAGGCTCTCTCTATCCAGGAAGCTAAACAGATTTTCAAAATGGCACATCTTGCAGTGACCCAGGAAACTGCAGAACTGTCTGGGGCTGCAGCTGCAGAAGCAGTTGTTGGAAATGCTGAACAGCATTCGAAGTTGTGATCCATGAAAGCTGCTATTTTATCTACAGATACTTGATGTCCTACTATGTCTTATCAGCTTTAAGTTTCATCAGGCCCAGAGTAAACTTTGGAGGCAGTGTGGCACTGGAAAACACTTCAGGACTACCTCTGCATGGCAGTGAAAGCAGCAGTGTGGGGGAACAGTGTTTTGAGCTGATGTGAGTGAGCCTGTGCTGTTTGAGGCCCCCAGCCCTCCTGCCTGGCAACATGAGGAAAAGGCTACAATGAGCTGCTGAGTGCCTTGGTACTTTTTACARCACCCTGCTGCTCACACTGCTGAAGCACTTGGACTCATAGAAAAATAGAGCTGGTGATGAGACTTGAAGAAACTGAAGTTAGTGTGCCTGACACTGATGGTCCCTGTTCTTTTACTGATCTTTATGTGTGTTACAACCTGTTCAATAGATCTTCCTGAGTCCATGACTTGTGCTGGTGCACTGGCCTAAACAGTGAGCCTATCAGTTGTGCTTCCAGGAATTCCTAAAAGTACTTGCAGGGCGAAAAAAGCCCTACACATCAAAACACAGCTTTCCATTCCTGCCYGGACTGAACCTCTCAACAGTTGSTGATATTTCTGTCAATACATTTACATCCAGTGGTTTCCCTCAAGACGAAAATGAAACTGAAAGGAAAATGGAACTGAAAGAAAAACTAGTAAAGCAAAATTCAGTCTTCTGTAGCAAGACATAGAAAGACTATGACTTTCCAGATCAGAGTGCTTTGGTACCCTTCGCAGACAATGCCAAATACTTAAAAGGTTTATGTAGCACATTTGTCCAAAAGAGGCACGTGAAGGCGATTGCATCTCTTGTAGCTGTCTGACCCTTGCAGACACATCCATGCTCTCTGGGACCCTTAATATCTGAGGAAAGTGTTGCTTTGGCAAGCTTAAACCTTCTAACCAGCACCTGCTGTATGTGCTTCAGTTTCCCAGTGTGCATCACTATGGTTTTGAAAGCTGCTTAAGTATTATTTTTGTGGTGTTGGGTTCCCTTACATTCTAGATTTCCAAAACAAGGCCTTCATCAACTATGTAATAGTGGTAGTAATAGTATTAGTTAAGGTAGTTACTCCTTGAAACACACTGTGTTAGCTATGCTAACAAATCAGACTCTGTTAAAGAACATTGGGCAGACTTGAGGATATTATTGTCAGCTGCTGTAAACCATATGTTTATGCAAATCTAGCAGAGATTTCAGGCTGGTCTCAGTGCATAGTGAAGGGAAGTGCTTCTTTCTGGGTGTGATTTTGGGACATTTATGTAGGGACAGTTGTGGATGTCACTGAGTGTTGTACTGTGGCACAGGTGTGCCTACTCATAGGGCTCTTGGTGGGTGACAGCCTTTACAGATGTTACTAAAAGTGCCTTTTTCACAGAAATGTCTATCTCAGTTGCTATCAGGCTGCTGTACTGGGATGCTGAGCCACCAGCAGATTTGTAACCACGGAGGTAGCCAGAGGGCAGGTGGAGTGACTGATGGAGGTCTTCTTGGTCTGTCACTGCCATGCCACCATTGTGGCTGCTCTGYGCAAATGTCTTCAGCTGTACTGTGTGAGCAGTGCAGGTTTCTGCCAGAAWTGGTGCTGTGCCATTCAGTTCTAAGAAAAATCATTCCTGAAGCATTCTCTTGTATTCATTTTCTGCTTTTTCTGTTTTGTTTTTTCATTCTCTTGACATTCCTGGAGGGAAGGGCAAAGGATTTGTTTGTTGCAATAGCTGCAGTCAGAGCTTGTTGATAACAYAGCTGCTGGCCTACAAAACTGCAGCTCTTCTCTGGTGAAACCTCCAGATGTGCTCATACAAATTGCTTTGTATGTGTGCCCCTCAGCACTGTAAAGTACCTAAAATTCTCTGACGAGTTTGAAAATAATGCTTCTTTGTGCTCTCTCTTTTCCTTCTGCCCCCTCAGAAAACAGAAGGGGACATCAAATATGTGAAAGACTTCGGAGATGCTCTGGATTTTGGTGCCTAGGTGTGCTCTGCAGTGAGGTCTGGTTGGCTTCCTCTGGCCGTCCTGCTGTGTTTTGGGGGAGCAGCAGCWCTCTTTGCAGCAGAGACTGTGGAGTACCCAACTAGGGAATTTCTGTGGAGAAAATATCTCCTCCCATTTCTGTTTGCCTTTCATGGAAACCTATTGGGGTGTTCACTTACGTGTGACTTTTAAACATTGGTTGCATCAAAATGAGATGCTTGGTATTCTTACTTGCTTTGATGTGTATTTTCCAGCRTGAGTGAACTCTGAGCTCAGACAAACAACCTTGTGCAGTGTCACAAGGAAATAGCTGTCAGCAAAACTGGTTTAAAAAGCAAAACAAACCACCACAAAGTGGTCCTGGAAAAAGAGCCCTCTCTTTCAATAAAGCACATTGATTGATTGTCCTTGCAGCTGAAGCTGGTTTTGAAATTGTTTGCCTGRTATCTGCAAATATATATTTAATCTTTTTTTTCCAGCTGGTGATGGTGAGTCCAACTTCAGAGCAATATGACAGTTTGCTCCAGCAGATGTCAGAGAGGATTGATGAGGGATGTGGGGAGACCATCTATGTCATTGGACAAGGATCAGGTGAGTATATAGCTTCCCAGGAAAATGACAAAAAACGCATTAAAATTATAAGAAAAGAACTAGTTAATCTAACTGGACAGCTGCTGAAGGTAATGCATACTTTTCCAGAATAATGGGAAAACCTCCATAAAGTATAGCAGAATATGTGGGACAGATTCTTCCATTTTATTCATGCCAACAACTGTCTTATGTAGTGGAGCTAAACATTTTTTGGTATAAAATCATGCAAGTTCTCTTTTGGAAATAAAGTGTATCTTGTCTGAGAACACCAGGAAAAGACAAAGAATCTAAAATTACAGTAACAGCTTTAGTACAGATATCCTTGATGTCTGTGAATGTCTTGTTCTGTCTGACTTTGTTCACTGCTCCRTTGGAAATAACATATTTTTATCCCACAGGAGAGTATTATAGATACTTCACATAGCCAAAATATATGCTGCTGTCTTTGTTTGTTAGTATGTGTCTGCACTATGGAGGGAAGGTTTTCCTCCACTCAGGATGAGACTCTTATTGTCACATTAATTTGTATATGACTGCAGTCATTTGCCTGTGCAGATTTTAGCAGTTAACATGGATTACCTTTTTGTTCTTTTTGACAATTTGAATATTTACATCTGATGCTGGTAAAATAATACTGAGCATGCCCTTCCTTTGAAATTGAAATTCCTTTTCTGAATATAAAATAATATATAATATATATATATATAATATAAAATAATGCCCAACTCAGCTGACTGAGAAGCAAATGAAGACTGACACAAGAAGCTCATTAGTTCAGCAACAGTGACCTTTCCCTGTCTCTCTTGGTTCTTGTCTTCTGTCCCTGACTTGTCATTCCCTTCCTGTAACCCAAGGCTCGAGACATGGGGCTTTTAGTTTCCCTCAGTGTCATCAACTTCTCAGCCAGTTTATGAGTGAGATTGGAAATTGCCCAGTAMCTCTGCTAGTTTTAGAGCTGTGCTGTAATTAAAATGCTGATAAGTTCATGCAAACTKCAGTTCCTGCTTACTAGCTGATGAGTCAGCCATGCATATGAACATGCACACATGGCAGTAGCTTTGGTCATCCAGGTGCAGTGGGGCACTCCACSTTTGTTTGTTGTTTTGTGGGCATTTTTTACCCACAGAGGAGATTCTGTGGTGAAATCTGTGCACCTTCACAGCACCTTGGTTAGGAAAGAGAACACTTGTGGCCTTGACCCTGTCTAGATAGTTGCCACTGGCATGGTCTGACTGTCAGCTCTTTTGCTTGGGTAAGCTGCTCAGAGGAAGCAGTGCCTCCTTGTTTTTTTTTCTGGTCTCATGTGCTGTCAGCATTTCTTTCAAGTGCTAGGATGAAGGCAGTGAAACATGCCAAAAACATTTTTTAACTGGAGTACATGGGGGCTAAAAAAATTGCTGTGCAGGTCAGACTTGCTGAAAATGTGTACATGGGGTGTGGTTTTATAAGCTGATTGTTTATAATGGTCCCACATTTACTGGTTTCTTGTGGTGATGTTTCAGTCAGAGCTTTYCTTTGTTAATGCTTTACCTTTTCTTGCAATGTGAGAGGAGGTATTCTATCTGATTGAAGGACACAAAATACCTTCAGATTACAAAGTAAGGGAATTAGACAGAAATRTCTTTCTTGCCAATCCCTACCCCTTCGTAAAAATTGTGAAGAAAACTCCTCCAGATGAAAGATGGTGCTTTTCTAGTACATTTAAAGACTTAGAGTGAAGACCTTCCCTTTTTATTTTGGGCCAAGGGTGCTTATTCTGTGTACATGGCTGACATTTCCAGTCCACATATAAATCCTGATGGGTGTGAAGGTCCCAAGCAGGATGACATTGCTGCTGCCTGTTGCAAGGTGGTGCTCACTGACTGCTTTTGTCTCCTCAACACCACGCTAGATGGGACTGAGTACGGTCTGAGTGAGGCAGACATGGAGGCGTCCTATGCCACATTGAAGAGCATGGCAGAGCAGATCGAGGCAGATGTCATCCTCCTGCGGGAGCACCAGGAGGCAGGGGGCAAGGTGCGCGACTACCTCGTTCGGAAACGTGTGGGTGACAACGACTTCCTGGAGGTCAGGTGAGGAGCTGGATGGAGCCAGGGTTAGCAGCTCAGCTGCATTTTTACTGTGTGAGCAGTGCGTGATGCTGAGCCAGAAAAGCCGCTTCGAGTCTGGGTGTTGTAGCTACTTAACAAAGGGAGTCGAGCTTGGCCACTCCTTGCTGATGAAATTGCTTTTTTGTTGTTGCTGTCTCTTTTGTGAACAAACTGTTGGTGGAAATTTGATTAGCAGAGGGCCATTGCCGTCTGGGTGGCAGCCTCACATTTGGGGGATGTTTTGTATGCTGGGATGCCAGAAGGGAGTCACATGTGCACGTGTGGCTGTATGTATGTGTATATATGCACACTGCTGGAACACAATACTTTTAACTAAGGATCCAGTTCTGTTCAAAGACTCCGATGATACAAGTCACCTTTTAATGGACATATACTAGGTTATGCAACATGACTTGAGAATCTGCCCAGACCTGGATGGAGTGGATTTCCAACATTTGCCAATGGCCATAACAGCCACATTGATCAAAGTCAAGGAAGGAGCTTGCTGTAGGAGATGGCTTTCTGCTAAAATATTTCATTGTTTTTTTAGCTTATCTTTTTCTGGGAACAGCAATTTTAATTTTTGTGCTCTACTTAGCGCTTGGTGCTGTTGCAACATGAGAAATGTGAGAAAGGCAGAGGTGTTCTGGATCAAGTTGGGATTCAGTCTTCTTTTTGGATTGCCACTGTGTTTATGTTGGATCACAGAGACAAGGAGTTGGAGTAGAGACTGTATGACACTGTATGACATCAAGCAGTGTCATGTTCAGTGACACCAGTGGACACCAGTGACATATTTCCCCAGTCTTCCACATCCCAGGCCCCAGAGTCTGGGATCTCCATTGTTAGTTAATAACTGTGAAAGAATCTGTGCTCTGCTTGTGAAGATCTAACTTTTTAAATCTTTGCTTGAAGGATAGGGAGAAAAAGCCAGTTATTTGCAGAAGCAGTGATGTTTGGGTTTTTTTGATCACTTGTTCATTTCCTCAGGTACTGTATTTTACCAGGCTCCTTTTTCCTTTCCCTGCAGGGTAGCAGTGGTTGGCAATGTGGATGCAGGGAAGAGCACCTTGCTGGGTGTCTTGACTCATGGCGAGCTAGACAATGGCCGGGGCTTTGCTCGGCAAAAGCTCTTCCGCCACAAGCACGAGATTGAGTCAGGCCGCACCAGCAGTGTGGGCAATGACATTCTGGGCTTCGACAGCGAGGGCAAYGTGGTGAACAAACCTGACAGCCACGGTGGCAGCTTGGAGTGGACAAAAATCTGTGAGAAATCCACCAAGGTCATTACTTTCATTGACCTGGCTGGTCACGAGAAGTACCTGAAAACCACCGTCTTTGGCATGACTGGCCACTTGCCTGACTTCTGCATGCTTATGGTAGGTAGCAAGAAAGATGGGCCATACCAGCTGGATTGGGCCTTTCACAGCTTTAACAGCCTTGACTTTTGTCCTATTGCAAAGTGCCTGTGGGGTTTTGGAGGGAGGCAGCATCTCCTAGTGTTGGAGAGAAAAAGCCCCTCTGGCTCTCTTTTCTGGACTCTGAGGCAAGTGTCCCAGGACTGTCAGTCCCAGATAGGCCCAAGGTTTGTGATTCTCAAAAGCGGAAAGATTTATAAATTCTAGAAAACCTTGTTAAAACTTGAGGGAAATGARTCAGTCCTCTGCCAATGTCCAACAACATTTGAGATGAGCTGGGTCTGGTCATACAATTCCAGTGACACATCTATAGCCTAATCACAGTCTACTGCACATCTGACAYGAGGCCTTCTCCGTGATCCAGCTTACTGCAGAAGGAACAGTGACTTCCCTGTATTTTATATCCCTGGTATAGGTTGGGAGTAACGCTGGGATTGTTGGAATGACCAAGGAGCACTTAGGCCTGGCGCTTGCACTTAACGTTCCCGTCTTCGTTGTGGTGACCAAGATTGATATGTGCCCTGCCAACATCCTGCAAGGTGAGTCTTACAGGCTCTCTCCAGGGCTGTTTCTTACTTCTGTACGTGTTGCTGTCCTCTGCTTGGGTTCAGGAATTACTGCTGGAAGAAAGCTGCTTTAACTGGTTCTGACTGCATCCTAAACACTTTCCAGAAATTTGTCCTTTTCCCTTGATTATGTTGCAGGTAGCTCACTTGTACTCACCATGTCAAAATTACCCATGTTGGGGACCCAGTTGAGCAGCCCAAAAGTGTTTGCTACAAGGTTTTGCTTAATTGAGCTCTAAGAGGAGCAGCATACACTTGGGGTTTGGGCTCTGCTTTCTCTCTGGGTATTTAAACATGGAGGAAAAATCTGGAAGTTCTCTTGAAAGCTACTTTCCTCTCTGCCCACAGTTGGAGTGTGATCTTAAGCTGTGATCAGAGTTCTTGTCCGGAAGTTTTTAGGAAGGGGCAGCTGCTTGTTACCTCCCTGGGCACTTTTCAGGTACACTGGCCTAAGCACAGCAGCTCCTTCCTCTGTCTGAACAACMAACCAACACTTCGTAAATCATGGTTTAAAGCAGCTGCATATGTGGGCTCTGGTAGCAGGATGGGAGGCAGGACATGACACAATCAGGGGTGGCAACAAGTAGCATAGACTAGTGATTTTTTTCTCAGCAGAGTTAAAGCAGCACCTCTAACTCCAGCAGTGTTCCATTAATCCATGTTTGACATCTTTTCAGGCTGTGACCTACTCTCACTTTTAAAATTCTCTTTAAGCATTTCTCACACCTTCAGAAACATGGTGTGGTTAATTGGAGCAATGGGGTTTTTTTGATCATCAGGGAAATGAATGCTTCTGGTACTGTCTGTAGTTCAGTTGATTACTGTAAAAATCCTAAGTATGTTCCAAGCGCGTGATCAGGAGATAATCTGTATATCTCTATACTAGATGTTTGGCAAATAAATGTAGGGCCTGAGCATAAGATGATAACTGGGAAGGAAGAAGAACCTTTGGCTCAGCGTGAGGAGAGAAGAACTGCTCTTGGGAGAAGCTGCTCCTGTGACATGCTCTGTTTAAAGTCAACACAAGATTTGACTCAAGTATATCTGTGAAGAGCAGATGGCCTGATTAGATGTTTGTATTTGTGTATCCAAAACATTACTTTCCCACAGGCAATCATTTGTTTACAAAACCCCATCTAATTGGATAACAATTGTACAACAAATTATTTGCTCTTTTAAGCCCTTAGTACCCTTTTTGGTTTTTTTTCTTTATTTATTGTAAGGCACTTTGTAGGAGACTGATGCTAACGCATCAGGTAATGCCCCTTCTGGCTGCTAGATATAAAGCTTTATAAGAAAATAAATAAAGAAGAAGCTAAAAGATTAAAATTGRGACCAATGAGATTTGTCCCAAAAAGTAGATTTCTTAATATGGTCCACCCACATTGTCCTAGTGTTTGATGATAATCTTTTACCTCTTTCATGCTTCTCCAGCCTCCTAGGGCAAGTTGACTGCCAGAAAAAATGAATTGAGGCTTGCTTGGTCAAAATTGATATCCAATTCACACATTCTCAAATATGTCCATTCCCGAGTCTTGGTTTCCAGTTAATTCACTATTAGGAACTTTCTAGGAAAAATCCTTCCTAGAAAGAGGAAATACTTTGTAACTGCTTAAAGCTACTAATAGCTAYAAAATATCTACTTCACAGCATTGCCCTTGCAGATGCAAACTTGTCTGTCTGTTAATGTATGGTGTCGCTTGGCAGCGGGCTAGCTGGCATGAAATGGAAGATGGAATGTCTCCTGAGTCCCACCTGGGCTGCAGCAAACTCATAGTCTCACCTTTAGCCATCTTCTGTCTATCTGTGGCCAGAGCACCCATCTCCCTTCGGGGAGAGACCTCCAAAACTGATTTGTAAAGACAGGAGATGCTGCCCTAACAATATTCATTTCACCCTTTAAGAAACCCTGAAGCTGTTACAGCGACTGCTGAAGTCCCCAGGGTGCAGGAAGATTCCCGTGCTGGTTCAGAGCAAGGATGATGTCATTGTAACAGCCTCCAACTTCAGCTCAGAGAGGTAACGGGAGTAGAGGAGAATCCTTTCTCTTTCAATCTTATGTGGAGACTGGGTGAGGAGATTCAGAGAGTCCCATTGTCTAGATGTGTGAAGATTGCATCTGCCATGTGGTGTGTTGATTCCATAYGAGTGTGTTGATTTTTGAGGTTGACCTGCTTGTTCTTTGCCTCTCTGAGGCAGAAATGAGAGGCTGCTTCTGGGCGGTCTGCAGAAGACAACAGGGTATCTGTCTTCCTTCAGTCCTGGAACCTTACACCTTTTTCCAAATGTCATCAGAAGGCAGAGGCAATGTTGCAGGTTTTCAAACATGGGCCGTTGTGCCTCTGACTGCTTGCCAGGCTCTCCCTTCCTAGCACTGTGTATTGAATTCAGTCCCCAGATTTTGGATGTCTCCCTACATGTGGAAAGCCAGGTAGGAAGGTGAACTAACTCCATCAATTTTCCTTTACAGGATGTGCCCAATTTTCCAGATTTCAAATGTTACTGGGGAGAATCTAGATTTGCTGAAGATGTTTCTTAATCTCTTGTCTCCACGGACCAGTTACAGGGAAGAAGAGCCAGCAGAATTCCAGATAGACGATACTTACTCTGTCCCGGTAAGGGGCCTGGTATTTGGAAGAATGTTCTGTTCCCTCTTTTAGGTTGAAGAAGGTATCTTCTCTAGAGAGGGGAGTTCTAGAGCTCTTCTGCTGGCCTGATTGAATAACCACAATTACTGGTTTTTCTTTTTTGGCATAGGGTGTAGGAACAGTTGTCTCTGGGACGACGCTGAGAGGTCTCATCAAGCTAAATGACACTCTGCTGCTGGGGCCAGATCCCCTTGGCAACTTCCTCCCTATTGCTGTCAAGTCCATCCACCGCAAGAGGATGCCTGTCAAGGAGGTGCGGGGAGGCCAGACAGCATCCTTTGCATTGAAGAAGGTGAGGTGATCTCCTCTAGACCCCCAGAACAGGAACTGCCCTCCTAATTTTTGAGTGTTCTTGGAGTTCAGCTGCCATCAGGCTTTCTGCAAACCTCAGCTGCCTCATTTTGCAGTGGAATGAAATCTCATAGAACTWCTGTGGTTCCACATCCTGGTTTTACCTGCCAGGGATTGCAATGCCACTAGGCAATGATGTTGGAGATACCTAAGAAAGGGGAGGCATTGCAAGGTAAGTCCCCTTTTGTACTGGAACTGCATTAGTGTCCCTGGCAGCATATTTACACTAGTCCTCTTGGCTTGTAGGACCAGCTGCATGATTTGTGATTTAATAATCAGCAAAATTTGATACAATTCCTCTTGCAAAAGGTTTCTTGTCAATAGAAGCTACATTGATTTTAAGGGGATACAGTTTGACCTACATCATACTTCATGTGTCCAGGCTTACTGTGTTATATTAACAGACATCATGATTTTGGAGAGATCATTTGCTTGGATAATGTGCAACTGGGATGTATATTTTGCTTAAAAAGGATCAGTGAGGTAAATGTGTCAGTGTTCAGCATTTCCAGTACTTTGAAGCCTCCTTAGAAACTTCAGCTGAATTTGATTTTTTCAACCTTTACGTAATATTGTACACAAAGCATACAGCTACACAGCTCTTGCTTTGCCTGTTGGTGGGCATGAGATAGATAGTATCTGTGAAATGCCTTAGGATTCTGCTGGATGCAGTCAGCCAGAGCAACAAATTTCTTCCCTGGAGAATCGTGCTGAGGTTTTTTGTGTCTCTGCTTTTCAGATCAAGCGTTCTTCCATCCGGAAAGGCATGGTAATGGTGTCACCCCGTCTGAATCCACAAGCATCATGGGAGTTTGAAGCAGAGATTCTGGTGCTCCATCACCCCACCACCATCAGCCCACGATATCAGGCCATGGGTACGTGTGTCAGTGTTGTTTTGTCTTTGTTTCCTGGTGGTAGCAGTTTATATCAGATCTACCCTGAGATAATTTTGCTCCTGATGTCTCTGTCAACCTGAATAAATGCTGTAGTTCCTACTTTTTCCTTTCCGAGCAATGTGGAAGGGGGGCAGGCTGTAAGGTAGAAAGGAGATGTGTGGCCTCAAGTGTACTTGGAGCCTGCCTTTGCCGGATATCTGGTGCAAAGATTCTCCACTTTCAAGCACTTATGGAAAGACTCATTTTGGGTCCTGCCCTCTAGCCCAGCTGCTTGGTATGTAAGATTCTGTTGAGGATGCTTCAGGACAGGCATGATTTGAAGGCAGCTGTCCTAGCTTATGTACATGTTCTTTTTGGGGACAGAACAAAGGCAGCTGCGTGACCCGTATRGTCTTAGCTGCAGGGTGAGGAGCTGCCTTAGATGTGTCTCTGAAGCTTGTTCCACTAATGGCCCTGGCTGCTGAAAGCCTTTGTGCTTTACATTTGCAGTGCATTGTGGCAGCATCCGTCAGACGGCCACGATTCTCAGCATGGACAAGGACTGCCTGCGGACAGGGGACAAAGCCACGGTGCACTTTCGCTTCATCAAAACCCCGGAATATTTGCATATAGACCAGCGGCTGGTSTTCCGGGAAGGCCGCACCAAAGCTGTGGGTACCATCACAAAGGTAAAGGCTGATGAGTCCCACTGCTTTTGCCCATTAGCTACTTCGTACACTGGGAAGCCAGCAGGAGAATCTGGATAGCTGTGGAAAATTGAGGGAAAAGGCTGTGCTTCAACCACAAGCAATAGCSCTGACATGGGTTGTAAATGACTGATGTGCTTTGTCTTGTGATGGGTCTTAAACTGGTGTGAATAAGGGAATGTAAAGCGGGGGGCTGAGCCAGATGCTGCTGTTTCTTAAAGTTCTGTCTGTTTCTGATACCTTTTAGCTGGTCCCTTTGGGTCATGTTGTGAAGGTTAGAGTGTCACCTCAGCCAAGTGGCTTTCGAAGGGTGGAAGCTCAGGTGTCTAAGTTTCTTCAGAGAGCTGCCGCTGCTGCATTCTCCTCATGACTACTTTTATAAATTCTCCTGAGGCTTTTTCTTAAAAGCATCATTGAACCTTGCCTGATCAACCTAACTATTTTAATGCCAAGTTTGGCTTCTCCCTTTACAATTTGTAGCTACTCCAGACCACCAATAACTCACCAATGAACTCCAAGCCACAGCAGATCAAGATGCAGTCAACAAAGAAGGGAGCTGTTACGAAACGAGAGGATGGTGTTCCTTCTGGGACGGCAGCTGGAGGCCCAGCCGCTGGGGATGAGGCCCCCTCAACAGCTGCAGCACCATTGACACCTACTGCCCTRCAACCATTGGTAAGTGAGGAAAGTACTGTGTCTCTCCTAGCTGCTTGTGCCCTGGTTTCACCTGTTGGAGGAAGGGCACTCTAAAGCACAAGCATTATCCYCTCACACCTTGAACTCACCTTGGGACTCAATGTACCACAGAAACAAACAGAAATATAAGTAGTGTCACAGCAGAAATTGTCATTTTTTTATGACTGGATGACTCCCTGGCTGACCTTCCATCAGACAGCAGCTCAGGATACTGGGACAGTTCAGGTTGTACCCCAGGAAACGTCTAGTCTAACCTGCTCTAAGTAGGATTAGCTGTGATGTCAGACCAGATTGCTAAGGGGTTTATCCAGTCATGTCTTAAAAACCTCCCAAGGAGGAAGACTGCACAACTTCCCTTGGCAACCTGTTTCACTGCTTGACCATATGCACAGTGAAGAAATGTCTCTGTATACCCAGCAGCAGAACTAGTGAAACATCTAGCAACAGTCATAGAACGGGTCTTCGATACCTGAATGAGAGGCAGAGTATCCCTACACTAGAGAAATTACAACCTAAGTATTAGGCACAGGTTGTTGCCCTGTCAAAGAGGGAGAAGGGGGACATCCAGGAAGAAGGAAAGGCCTGTCTCTTTCTAGAGAAATTGATCTAGGTTGTTTATTTGGTTAGGACTTTTCAGTTCAGCTTGTCCATGAAGGATACCCAGTCTTTCTGGCCTGAAAGGAATGGAAGCTCAATTCTCACTGCAGGCTTTGGGAGCCTATTTATCAGCTTTATTGATGATAGAGGAAAGGTCTTCTCCTTGTAGGATACTTACTTAGTACGTGAAGGGCTCAGGAACTGACTCTGTCATGYAACAGGGTGTTCCTCTTTTTAATTGGTTGCCATGGTCAAATCTTGCTCTCTTGAGCCAGACTGCTGATCAAAGAGGGCCCCCTGGCAGGGTTTCTCTCCCTCTGCATATGTCTGGGACTTCACACCTCCATCTCGTGTTTTTGTAGTGCCACTGTGGTTGTAAGTAGTGCTCCCTGCTTGCTCTTTGTTTCATCCCTCCCCCTGAGACTCTGGGTTGCTTTTGTTCTTGCTTACCTCTTCCTCTCTCTCCTTGCCACATCTCCTCAGCCTGCACTGGATGAAGAGCCCCACATCCGTGAGGGCAATAAGGTATCTGGCTGCTCTCAAAGAGAAACAGTGGGTTTGCTGAGGTTGGGAAGAGTCAGGTTACCAAGAAAGCCATGGGAGGGTGGGGGGGCTCATCTTCAATCCTGAACAATGTCAGAGGAGCCTGAGGCCTTGATTTCCTGTATGCTGAACCCCATGGCACCTGCTGGCTCTCATGGGAGCGAAGCATTCAGAAACTTGGGAAAAAAAAGAGTCTCCCCAGCTTGAAGGGTAAAACTTCATGGTGCATCTGTCTCCTTCCCTCATGGTGTATCTGTCTCCTTCCTGCTTTATCTGCTTCCTGCAGTGGTAGGAAGCTGATCAGTCACAACTGCCCTCGTGCTGTGTGAATGTGTGTGTGATCCATCTGAACTCTTGCTGTGTTGATATCCCAGCTGAGGGGTTGCTTTGAACTGAAGTCAATCTTCTTGTTTTTCAGTCAAAAGTCGGAGGAGGTGGCCGTCGACGTGGGGGTCAGCGCCATAAAGTGAAATCTCAGGGAGCCTGTGTGACTCCTGCCAGTGGCTGCTGAATTTCTTATTCCTCCTCTCTCTGAGGAATTCCTCCCCTTCCCTTCATTTCTTATCCAAAAGATCCAGAGCAGCTTAAACCAAAACCCATCCCAGCTGATTGGCTGCAGAAGAAGCGATGGAGAGGAGCATAATTTATAAGCTAATGAAGGTGATAAGACAGAGAACTGAGTAACTGACACCTTCCTCCTCCCCCTGTCGACACATTTTTGTACATCATGGGCTTAGTTTTTATTCTTATTAGTTTTTATTACATTTTGTGTGCATGAAGATGAGAGGAGAGTCTGGATCGAGCTGCAAAGAGCCAGTTAGTTGCCTCCCTCCTCCCTCACCCCTTTCTGACCACAGGACTTGCTGCTCTCTCCCTACTTGCTGTCTCAGATCCAGGGGTTATCAAATGCCTGAAATTTCAGACTTGCAAAGGTTAAAACAGGTTGTTAAGGGTGGCTCCATGGGGCATTGTTTCATCACCACTGTGGCCTCGTGCCAAATATGTTTTTAATTCCCTCCCGCTGAAACTATTTCTGAATGGATTTAATTTAATGTTGTAATGACTGAAGTTTGAAGGAGATGGTGAGAAAGTTCTTTAGTTGAAGATCTAAGAGGGAAACAAATTGGAAAGCAGTTGCTGATGTTAAGTTCAGGGATCCTATGCTCAGTATCCTCAAATAATGTTGATAGCACTTAAAATTTTAATTAGCAACAGAGTTAAATGGGCAGACATTTAGTCACCCTGTTCCTCTCCCCATCGTGCTGCTTTTCCTAGTGTTTGTTCAGTGCACATTGGAGCAAATCTAACCTGCCTCTCAAGGCTGCAGCAGCTCCACTGACAGTATTAACAATAGCGCAGGAGCACTCAGTCTGTCCCTTGAGCCAGAGAAAGCCTTCTCACCTCGATGGTCAGAGATCACAGGTGGCAAGATACCTTTGGAACAGATACACCAGGCTAACGTGACCTCCCCTGGATTTTGTTTACTCTGAGATTTTCAGAACCTCTTTGGAACTCACTGGCCAAACTTTGCCATGGCAGAGGTAGGATTCATCTACTCCCTTCTTGGCCAAAGAGGGCACTGATGAATTGGTACCAAATTTATAAAAGCACTTCCAAAGCTGGAAGTACATGGTCATTTTTCTGACTTCCATTTAATTTTTTTTTTAAGTTTTTTTTTTTTTTAATGAGAAATTCTGGCTTCTCCAAGAAGGCCATGCAAGGACAGTTTACAAATTACTGTTGGAATATTTTTTTAAACCATTTAATGAGTTGTTCAAGTGATTGATTCCCTGCTTATTTTGATCTTTTTTTTCTAACCCTGCCTCCTCACTTGGCTCCAGTGAGGACAGGAATTGTCCTCTGCTGGTTTGTGGTGAGCTGTGGGAGCCTGGTAGCATTTTGAGGAGGAGGCGGCATCCTCAGTAAATCATGGCTCTCCCCAGCAGGTGTGGTCAGGCTCAGTTTCTCTGAGGGCTTCCTCCTCCAATGAAGGACTTTTATTTTAATTAGAGGGAGACTGTAAAGTTTCTGTCCCTCCTTAGCGRGTTGTTCCTGTTCCTCACTCTGTGTCACCTGTGTGGAGTTCATTCCAGTTCACCTTGTGACTCGGGGTAGGCTTCCAGGCCRGCTGACTGGCAGAGCGCATCTCCCACTGCCAACACCAGCACTCCAAGAGCATTAAGCGGCATGGGAGAGGTGGGAAGTGTGGTTTGGAGACGAGGGCCCTTTGCCTTAGAGACTGCAGTGGCCTGAGGGTGGGTGGAAGGGGGAGGTCAGACAATCCTTTTCCAAGCTATGTGCCTAAATACCAGCACTCCTGGCGAGGGAGGAACTATAGGCGGCTACAACACTAATAGCACCCGCATTGTGAGAGGGTGTGAGGTGTGGCTAAGCAGGGCATGAGGGCCTGGCCTGTTTGTCTTCTGGCCCTGTAGCAGCACCAAACTGCATCTGATTTCACTGCCCTCTGCTTCTGAGGGGAGCAGGGAGCTCCAGGCGGTTTTCTTTCTCCATTCCTTGTGCTCCAAATGAAGGGGACTGCCGAGACTGAAAGAAGGTTCACTTCAATTTGTGCAAAGGAGGTGGTGTTATCTCTCTTTTGTGACCAGCATTTACAGATCACTCAGGCTGGTGTGATCTATAAAATAAATTTTAAAAAAGTTTGTTCCATGTAAAAGTGTGTCTTCTTGRTTTTTGTCCCTCTGGAAAACCAGGCTGAAATCCAGAGGAAGCAGAGCACCAGGTTCCTTTGCTGGCTATAAGGGAGATTGTGTTCATAGTGATGGCAGGGCAGGGCATACCACAGCACAGGAGAGCTGCTGCTGAGCCTCTGCACAGCCCTGACAGCTTTTACTCTGGCCCCAATGAAGTGCACCTCAGTGGCAGAGTGGTGAAATGAGAACATGGGCGTGGTGCAAGCTGTGCTGTGCCAGAGGTGTACGAGTGGGTGTGAAGAGCAGCTCTAGCAACTCACTTGGGGGCAGCCCCATGAGGGAAACTCCGCTAGAGGATGCAGCTTTAGCACTGCACTTGCAATACCTGCATACTGTGTTTCCTAGGACCTAGGACTTGCACCGCACCTGTTTCTGCAAATAGTGTCACTCTCCAGGGTTTGCAAGGAGCCTTTTTCTGCCTCCTTGGTTGACCTTGGAGATCCATGGAGGCTTTTTCTGCTCTGCTCAGCCCTTTCATAGGTAAGTGTTGGGCTGGTGGTAGCTAGAGCAGAGGCCCACACAGCCCTTCTGGCAAGGGCTGGTCCAGGGCAGGCAGCGGGGTCGCCTTTTGGGAGGAGCTGCAGTGTTACTTCTCATCACAAGCCTGTCTCCAAGCCCAGGTTAAGCAGACAAGATTGTGACCCTTCTCAAGCCAGTTCAATTTCCCATTTTTCAGCCTTTTTATGCTCTAGGTTGACTTGCTCATGCTGAGAAAAAAAAATATTTCCTTTCTCCTTTCTTTGTAGCTGATGAGTAATTAACAGCCCCTGTTAAGGAAAGGAGAAGGATGCAGATATCCTGAACTGGGGCTTGTGTCAGGCTTTGTGCCTGCTAGCCCAGCCTCGCTGCTCCTCGGGGCCAAGCTGGGCTCTGCTCATGATAAGGCAGAGGATGGGAAGGCTTGGGTGGTGACTGCAGGATTGGGACAGCCATGATATCACAGACTTAGTAGAAGTCACTGAAGTCCCAAAGAATTTGACTTATTAAGAGTAAGGCTTGTTTTCAGCATTGTTTCAAGCAGTTTTTGCATCCTTGAGCCTGCTCAATGACAGGGTGACCATAGAGTTGGTACATCAAGCTCAAAAATAAGAATTTGGCATAAAACTACATATAAGAAGAGAAACAAGAACAGCTTTGTCTATCTACTAGCTATGCATCATTACCAACAACATATTCAGTTACAAAACATCCAAACCACTCTGGGCAGTTTTGATATAATTTATTTGTCTTGGTATTTTTTTTTCTTGCATAGGCATAAATTAGAATCTGTTGATTAAAAAATAAAATGAACAAAACAGTGCAGCATTTGCAACAGGCTACAGCATCAAATACAAACTCCTGTCTGTAACCATCTATTTCTGCAGGGCTAATTCATAACGTGTGTAGGGCAAACTGAGAAGGAGAGAATAGAGGAGGAAATGGAGTAAATAAGAGAAATCTGCTCCCACAGCTGTTCTGCATTTCTCCTGCCTCACCAGGCTCATCTTCAGCATCAGCTCTAGGATTAAATACCCCTGGGCAGAGATGCACATGCTGAAGCAGCAATTTTATGTGCCCTCTTCTTCTGCAGCTTTGGGAAGTGCTGCAGAAATGCTGCAAGCTACATCTGGAGAGGCAGTGGCCCCAGGGCACTCAGTAGAGGTGCTCAGCCTGCAGCCCAGTACTGATGCTGAATTTGGGGCTGAAAACCCACACGTAGCTTCAGCATATGTTCCTGAGGATCCTCACACAGATGACAGGGTGAGGCCTCTAAAATCAGCTAGAGAAGAGCTTAAAGCCCCAGATGAGCTCTTACTGGTGTCTCCAGGGGTTTTTACTTGGAACAGCAGAAACTTTGATTGCCAAAGGACAGGACTAGCTTGCCCTGTAAAGCCAAATGCTCCCTAACCCAGAACCAGCAGTTAACACCACTTGGAAGGAGCAGAGATCCCACTACAACTCCATTCTCAGGGAAAGCGATCAACTTTCCTGCCTCTCACCAGCATGCCTGATTTACCACAAATCCATTTTTTCTTGGGCAAAAACCATGTCTGCCCTCACAGTCTGAGACAGGAAGCCAGAAAGAACATAAGAAAAAGGATTTTCCTGGGGTCATGGTTATGGCAATTGCTCCAGCAGCCAGAAAAAGATGGGAAAAAGAGCTTCATCTCTGCTCTTTTTATCATTCCAATAAATACAGGAGCTGATCTGCTGAGCCCAGAACACGTCTAGGCATTCATAAAAGAACAGCTCCATGTACTCAGTGCACTCACAAACATGACTCCAAGGAAAGAGGCAGCTGTAGGCAAGTTTAAAATAACTTTGGCTGTGGATGCCAAGAATTAAGACTATGCTCAATATAGGAGAGAATTTATAGTCCCTGGATCTGGCTCCAGGTCTGCCTTCTCCCTGCAGCAGAGCCTCCCAGCTCTGCAAGAGACTCCACAGGGTAATTTTAACCTGTTGGAGACAGGACTGTGCCCTCTGGGCTCACTTCCCTTGCTTGGAGCAAGGAGACCCCTTCAGAGGGGATGTGCTGCCACCATCCTCACCCCCCTTGGCTGGCATGGAGGGAAGTCATGGCTCAGCAGCTCTGCCTGATGCCAACTTCTTCAGCCAACTTCTTCAGCCCCTTCCCTTCCTCTTCTATGCCTACAGTGCTTCAAGCAGAGACCATGAGAGTGGGAGTTAATTCATGGTGCTCTCATGGTGCCAGGGGAAAGGACGGTACCAGCACTGGCCAGGGCTGAAACACTGACCGTGAGCCCTTTAGCTTTTCTTTCAATGAAACACAAGACAAAGCTGGAGGCTGTAAACGCCACCCAAGAACATAAGCCAAACTGTTGATGCAGGCAGCCAGAAGGCAGAGGGGCCAGATGGCCCTGGCACTCTTCAGCCTGGGGAAGGTCCCTGTGCATCCTTCCTGCAAACCGCTGCTGTGCCTCTCCCCACCCCAACAGTACAGGCAGGATTTACATGCTCACTGCAGGCAGGACTCCCCGTCCTGCTCTAGCCCAGTCCTCCCACAGCCAGGGCTCAGAGAACCCTGAGCAGAGCAATGCCAGTGAGGAGAGGGCACACGAGGGAAAGGGAGCCCTTCCAAGAGAAAGGAGGTCAGCCTGAGCCCGCTATGTGCCATCAGGGACCGGGAACTGAGGGAGCCCTGCAGGCGGAGGGTGGTTCTGCATGCTGGCACCTGCAAACCCTGGCGATTGCTCTTTCTCCCCCCCAAGAGCCCTGCAGAGCCCTGGGGCAGCAGCTCCCACGAGYTGCTGGCAGTCAAGTATATACAGATGCAGCCATGGGCAAGAGACTACAGCCATGCATTGCAGTCTCAGAGGACATCAGGAGCAAAGAGGGCAGGAATGCCTCCAGCACCCCACCAGCAGCAGTCCACAGAGGACCCCAGCTTCTGAGTCCAGCTACCAAGCCACCAACAACTTGAGGCCCATATTTTAAAACAGCTCTGCTCATCTTATCCTAGCTTATCCTACGGTGTGCGCTATTCTACTGAACAAAGTTCTAGCCCTCTCCACATCTAAGCCACTCATCCAAGTGGTACCATGTAACATTCTCTGGTTAAGTACAAATTGCATGGAAAGTATTTTTTCCCTTTGCTACTACAAACCCACCCCCCCACCCCCCCCCCCCCCCCCAAAAAAAAAAACCCAATCCCAGCATCCCAACTAGAAAATAGCCCTCCTCTCCACCCATCTTAAAAAAAAATATCAGAACAAACCCCAAAGGAAAAGCAGGCAACAGGAATTTTCAATAGTATCGTCAAGCTTAACACTGGGGAGGCAGCCAGCCACGGAGGCCAACAGCATCGCCAAGACCCAACTGAGCCACTGGCAGCAAGAGGGTTTGGCAGCACCAAGGTGGGCTCTGCCACCAACATGTGCCATGCTCCTCTCCTCCTGCTGCCACAAACCATTAGTTTCATGTTAATACTTCAGTAATACTGTCTTATTTCCTCTCTGCCAGCCCATTTGAGGGCTGGACACCTTTACCCAAACCAACACCAAGGCAAGAGAAGTGACCCTGTGTGGAGGGGACTTGGTGGCCATGACCAGTGGCTCCCACCTACTCCAGCAGCACCGGGCCAGGCACCACAGTCCCACACACTGATTGCGCCCAAGCCCGCATGAAGCACATCAGAAAATGACACCCCCCTTTCCCACGCCCTGGCAATGCTGACACACCAGCAGAAAGGAGAGGGGCAATAGGGACAAGGGGCAGCGCAGACCCAATACAAAGTTAGCTTATAAAGTTAAAATGTCCCATACGCACTGAAAACAAGCCAGGCTGTGCTAGGACTCACATGGGATGCTCTTGCCTCACCACCCGGTCCTTGGAAGAGTGAAAGCCTCACCCCTTCAACACCAGCTCTTCTCCTCCCCCCAGGGGAGCAGCTTCCTGTGGCTGCTGGCACATCCCAGGATTTCTACATGTGAAGCAGTGMACCAGATGCATCCCTTCCTGCTGTCAGCCTGGCAGCATCCTCATCCCGCGCGGAGCCAGGGGTCAGTGTGCTGGCTCCCCATGCACACGGAAGCGGTAGATGCAGGTGTATTCGGGGTGGCCCCAATTGCTCAGTACCCGGAGCTCCACCAGCTGGTATGTGCCCATGGAGTCACCCTTAGGGAAGAGGGAAAAGAAAAACTTAAGCCCTCTCTAAGGCTCAGAGATGTCAGAGGCCTCATTTCCTTCTTGGGGGTCAGGTGCTCCAAGAGCAAAGCATTTACCTCCAAGTAAAATGTTTGGATGGGATCGCCATTGTGGCTGTAGGTGAACTGTCCAAGGAGAAGGCCCTCTTCCTCTCCTTCTTCCTTTAAACCCTATGGAGGGGCAGGGAGGCAGAAGGGGAGAACCAGGGGTCATCAGAGAGGGAGACCAGAGGTGATGCACACATCCAGGGCAGAAGAGGGAGAGGGGCACACAAGCATGCTTGGCCCCCGCTCCTGCTCTTCCAGGTCAAAATAAGACAAATGGGAACAGGGACCAGTGGAGAAGGATGAAGGAGGGGAGACCAAAAGTTACATATGCTCAARCCCCTTTGTCCCTGTGTCCACCCCAAAGTTTATCCGAAACCTGGTGCTGTCCCTCTCCCCACCAGTATTGCTTCTTCCCCTTCTTCAGGGTAAGACCAACCTCCCCAGAGCACCCCAATGCCAGGTATGGGGTTTGCTAGCCCTCCCTTCCTGCACTCTCCCACCATGTCCCCCCACCCTCCCTTGGGTCTGGGTGAGGGCACTCACATAGACAGCAAAGTCCTTGGGGGCACTGGGGATGGTCCCCTGGGGTGAAAGGGCTTTTGGGATGTGCTCCAGCGTCACAGCTGTGGGGCGGATGATGCCAGAGAGGCGGATGACAGCAAAGCCTTGGGAGCCACGAAACGCCCAGCAGTTCCCAGGGTTGACATCTGGCTATGAGCATGGAAGTGAGAACACCAGCAATGTTACCAACATCAGTGTTATTTTTCTCCCACCAGCCTGGCTGCTGGCTTGGAGCAATAGTCAAAGCCCCATAAAAAGCACACAAGAACCAGCCCAGTCGTGCCCCTCAATGCCCACCTGCAGGATGACACGGGGGGATTGCGAGTGGTACCAGAGCGGGATGCCGAACAAGCTCAGCAGCGCTGTCCGGGTCTCGTAGGTCTCTGAACAGCGAGTGTTGATGACGCTGGCCCCTGGCATGAGAGGGATTGGCAGCAGGTGAGCTGCACACCAGCACCCTGAAGTCACCTCCCCCYGACAGCTGGTTTGTCCCCAGCACCGACCTGCCGACTCAAGGGCGTAGTCAACCATCCCCACACGGTCCTCGCTGTAGCGCTTCAGGGCCTGGCCCACGATGAGATGCACTTGCTGCAGCGGGAGCAGAGGGAACAGAGTGAAGGACCGGGGCAGGCATCCCGCCCCCCCACGTGCCTGCCCCTGCAGGGACAGAAGGTGCAAGGACTTCCCCACAAAACTGCCAGGGGATAGAACAGCCAGGGGATGAATCACCGCGGCAAAAATGAGAGGACACGTGTTTGGCTGGGAAGCCTCCTTACAGGTTGCTAAAAATACTCCAGGGGAGAGGAACTGTGCAATGAAGGGGCAGCACCCAGGCAACATTGCACTTGTCTGTCCCCAAGAGGGGCTGGAGAGAGAGACTAGAGGTACTACCAGACACAACCGGACAGACCACCCTCAATCATTCATCTGCTGGCCCCTCCTGCCTTGTCCCACAGAATTGATGGGAGCTCCCTCCATCCAGAAAACAAGGAGATGGCTGGAGCATCCATCTGGAGCCAAACGCAGCCTAAGGAGCTAGGACCCTGCAGCACCCAGTTTAGCACTTTGAGTCTAAACTTTACAGAGTGCACAAAGCTTGCACACACTATGGGGACTGCTAATCCCAGCTTGATCCCTCCCTCCACTACCTCCCCAGGGAATTGCYAGCAACACTTTCCAAAGTAAGCAGGCTCATTTTTTCCCCTTGGTGTCATTCTGCTGAAATGCTCTGCACCAAACAACTCAGTGGCACTGCTAAAGAATGGGGGTAAGCAAGATGCTCCACCCATGGAAGCCTTGTTGGCACCTGTCCCACGTTCTGGGTAAAGSATATGCAAGCAGAAGCTTGGACTTTAAGACAGTAAGAGTCTTGCACCTGTGACCCCCTCCAGAGCAGAGAGCAGGCACAGCCCAAGAAGGTGAGTGGCAGAGAAGGAATTTCAAAGGTGCTCTTTCATCCTGTGAGCCCAGGATCAATGTGCCAGCTGTGGGGGCTATCCCAACAGCTCAGCCATGAACACATGCTAGCCCCCTGCACACACGAAGCGGGGCACAGTCCCCAACCCCACACCTGTGGTCACCTCATGTCCCTGGGGCTCAGGTCAGCACTCACCTCCTCTGTMACTCCTGCAGTCCCTCCTTGCCGCAGGGCCACTCCAATACCAGCCTGAGCATCCCGTGCTGACAATCTCCGGTCCTCCAAGACTTTTGCAAGGATCTTGCGCTCCAGAGCCTGGAGCTCTGMTTGCAAGTCTTCCTGCTGGAGGATGAAGGCAGCAGCACCATCCTGCTGGGACTGCGACAGGAACCGACTGATCCACACCGGGAATTGCGCTTCCAGCTGAAACGGTGCGGACAAGAGCTCAGCCCTGGGACAGGGACCATTGCTCGCCCTTCCGCCAAACAGGCTGGGGACTGGGGACTCACATCAGCCCGCACTGTCTTCAGCTGCTCCAGTATCCCGTCAACGTGCTTCCCCATCACCTCCTGGTCTGACTTGAGACCTGCCAGCTCCCTCCTCAGCGCTGCCACCTCCTGCTCCAGCTTGCCCACCTCCTGCCGGAAGGTCTTTCGCAGGCTCTCCTGCACTGAGCTGTGCCGAGAAAAAGGTAACAAAACCTCGTGCCAATAGGCCCAGATCCCCTCTGCAAACTGGAGGAAGAGGTTCATCACACATCGCCTATGCTCCAGGCCCAGTTTTAATTCCAGTGGCAGTGACCTCTTCTGCACCCCATGGGAAAGCATCCCCAGCTCACCCCTCAACTGAATGGCCACATTTWTAGTGATGCAAAATGACAGTGGCAGCCATCATTTTCTGCCATTGTCCTGGGAGCCCTCCTGCCAGCCACAGAATCATAGAATGGGTCAGGTTGGAAGGGCCCACAGGGGTCATCTGGCTCAAAATACCTGCTCAAGCAGGATTGTCCCAMAGCACATTGCACAGGATTGCWTCCTGATGGTTCTTAAATATCTCTAGTGAGGGAAACTCTACAATCTCCCTGGGCAATCTGTTCCAGTGTGTGGGCACTGTGCAGTACAGAAGTTCATCCTCATGTTCAGSTGGAACTTCCTGTGCATCAGTTTCTGCCCTTTGCCTCTTGTCCTATTGCTTGGGCCCACTGAGATGAGCCTGGCTCCAACCTCTTGTCACAATCCCTTCAGATATTGATAGACATTGSTGAGGTCCCCTCTCAGTTGTCTCTTCTCAARGCTGAACAGGCCCAACTCCCTCAGACGTTCCTCATAAGAGATGTYCAGTCCCTTAACCATCTCCATAGCCCTCTGCTGGACCTGCTCCAGGAGCTCCATGTCTCACTAGAGCTGAGGAGCCCAGAACTGGACACAGCACTCCAGATGTGGCCTCACTAGGGCTGGGCAGAGGAACAAGATCACCTCACTCAACCTACTGACAATGCCCTTCTTAATGCATCCCAGGATACCACTGGTTTTTCTGGCCACAAAGATGCAATGCTGGCTCCTACCAACACCCACATATGTATCCTTCCTTGCTTTTCATCCCAGACTATGCCTCTCCCTCTCTCCTTTGTCCCAAGCAAACCAGGCCTGCAAGCCCCCCCTAAGCTTGGCTGAGGGGAATCTACCCAGCTATTTGCCTACCCCTAACAGAGCAATGGCTCTGCCCCACAGCCAGTTACCTCTGCCAYTCCGAGTTCAGCTCCAGCAAGCGTGCTTCCATCTCCTACCAGGAAAAGGGGAAGGGGTGAGTCCTGTGACGCCACTGGTGAGGGTGCCCAGGTACCACCACATGCTTGTCCCMTTACCTGAGAGGCTTGTGCCATCTTCCCCAGGTGCCCGTCTAAATCCCTCTGCACCTGAGCTCGGAGGGCATCGAGCTCACCCTGCAGGATGAGGAACAGGGTGGAATATCAGAGCCTGGCCCTGCACACTCCCATCTCCCTGCGTTCCTGCCGTGTCCTTCACCTGGAGGTGGTTGGTCATGTCAGTGCGGAGATGCTCCTTCAGCCCCGCATCCCGACGGCTCACMAGACCCTCCAGCAGCGCAAGGACGTCCCCTGGGGGTGGCTCTCCCCCTGCTGTCACTGCTGCTGCCCCACGACGCAGCTCCCACCGCGACAGCTCAGCCTCCAGTGCTTCAAAGCGTTTCTCCAGGGACTGGAAGCGAACCAGAAGTGGGTGTCCCCCCTGCAATGACAAAAACAGGGTGTGATGCAGCTTCCCAGGGAAGTGYCTGCTCCACAGGACCCCTGTGAAAGAGCACCCTGACCACCTATTCCCACCCATTCCCCAGAGTCAGTGGCATCTTATTTATCTGTTGCTTCCCAGAAGAAGGCAGATGTTCTCCCTGCTCCATCCCGGGGATAGCYCAAGAGTAAGATGGCCACAAGCAGGGGAAGCCAGTGTGGAGCCATCATCTGCCCCATTCTCCACCACTCCTCATACCCTGGAAGCAATTGTTCAGCCAGCTCTCCATGCAAGGCACTCATCCCACCTGAGCCACCACGCCTTTGCTGAAGCTTACCTGGTCCAGCGTGGTCAGGTCCCCTGCCCCAGGAACATCAGAGGAGGAGGAAAGCCTTCCAGTTCCCCACCACGGGAAGGAAGGCAGGCTCAGTGTCGATAGCCCATATGGGTAGAAGTACCAAGCTCCTGGGCACACAGAAGGATGAGATGGTAATGGGCCACAGCGGTGGACAGGGTGGACATGCAGAGGCTCAGCCATCAGCATCCCCCGGGATTACCAGGAGACYCCATCAGAGGGGTGCAGATGGACCACATTACCAGAAGCCATGAACACTGAGCTCCAGACCATCCCATCCCCTAGCTATGGCAGTGGGATGGCAGTGGGATGCTCTGCACTGCCCCAGATTTCAGGGYAGCAGATCAAGTGAGGCTGGCTCACCATAGGCAGCAGCAGCAAGGAGCAGGAGGAGCAGGAGAAGCAGCAGGGACCTCTTCAGACGTGGGTAGCGCCTGGAGCACAGGGAAGAAAGAGGCATCTGTAGGACTGCAACCACTTTCCACCACCTTTGGATGGGGGACCAGAGGGAAAGTGCCAGGCTTTGGCACTAGACACGCACCACCCCACATGGGCCTCCCCTCTCCAGGGTCCTACAGRTTTTCCCCATGCTTCTCCCACCCTGGTGTCCCACCATTATGCTCACCTGGAGAAGGGGACAGTGTCCAGGTGGGAAGTCGTGCCGGTGAGGCGGTGCCATGCCCCTGCCAGCCCTGAGAACAGCCATACCATGAACCGAACTGCCAGGAGAAAAAATGAGCCTCAGGAGGGGTCCTGGCAGAGATGTGCCCTCCCTGCCCCAGGTGGCACCACAAGGAAGATAAACCCTTCCACCTGAACAGGGAGCAGCACACACAGCACCGGTAGAGTAGAGGCGCTGACTGGCAAGGATGCTGCTGCTAGAACTGCTCTTGCCAGCCCTCCCCCCACTCACCTGGGGAGGTGAACACCTGCCAGAGGAAGGAGCCCACCCGGGAGGCTGCAGTTCTCAGACCTGACCCAGAGCTACTCTGGCCTGAGTAATAGTGACCTGGAAAGGAAGAAGCAAGTCACCAATGCAGCCATCATCCCAATGCATTGCCCACGGCAAAGGCTTTGCACTGGGTGGGGGCGTCTAGTGGGGACTGGCAGCACAGAGGGTATAGCAAGGCCCTGGGCTGCTCCCCCTGTTGATGCCTCCCTTGCATTCCTGCCACTACAGAGACTGGTGTATCCCTACCAGCATAGTCATCCTCTGAGGAGTATCCCGATGAAGATGTGTAGGTGTCATACGTCTTGCTCTCCAGCACCCCATTGATCTTACTGGACTCGGTGTCCCCTGTACCTCTTCTCCTCCTGGTGGAAAGCTCCCCACCTGCTCCCAAAACAYGGAGTTCCACTGAAAAATTACCCATCATCACTTCCACAACGGGCAACCCAGCCAGCTGGCCTGGACAGTTGCCCCATCACTCTYCATGTGTCCAGGGAGGTCCCCAGCTGCCCTAGGAGAGAGGGAGGGCTCACCCCAGTACGAGYTGCTGTCCAAGTCATCATCCAGCATGGAGCTGCTAAAGGCAGCAAGGCCCCGGCTGTCCCCCAGGTAGGACTCGCTCATCATGGACTCGCTGTAGTAGGAGGTTTGGGTGCTGGGGGCAGGAGAAAGGCGCTTTGTGCTACTCGATTTCCTCCTGATCGTCCTGCGGGAGGCGAGAACAGGCTCATCAGTCATGTGCGGTTACAGAGGGGTAGAGGGGGGATCACAGTGCACCCATGGGGGGAAATGGGGAATTCACCCCAATCACTCGACCAGCATCACTTCCCTCCGCACCGGATGGCGGCAGCTCTCGGAGGCTGCAACCTCTGCTTTGCGAAGGCCTCCCGCCCGTCGCCGGGCACCGCTTCCGCTCTCACCGCTGCGGTTTTCCGGCCGGCACTTGAAGCGCACCTCCCTCCTCCCTCCTSCTCCCTGCCGCCATCCAGCTGCAGCCGGGAGCTGGCACCCAGCCGCCCACGGCAGGCTCCCGCGCCGGGCCCGTGGGGACGCGGAGGTGTCTGCACAGGGAGAACGGGGCTTTTGCCGGAGCAGGGGCACAGCCAGTGCCAAGGCGGCYGCGGCCATGCCAGAATGCGTCGGGCTCGCTCCCTTCTGCAAGCTATCCCCACCCAGGAAAGTGCCCGATCCTTGGTGTGGGATGGAATGCCCCGCCCCGTCAGATTTGGGAGCGCTGAAACCCCCCGCTCCTGCTCCCACTAACCTGCCGGTGGTCTCCTTGAAGGGGAGCTGTGTCCCACCCAGCAGAGAGGTGCTGCTGCTGCTGCTGGTCGTGGCATCGTCGTCCCCSGGGTAATAGCGGGTGGTGACAAGGCGCTGGCTACGGCGGGACATGGCGGCAGCACCGAGTGGGGGCTCAGCTCACCTGGAGGGGTGAAGGGGCGAGGGAGAAAGGGAAGTGTCAGTGGGAGGATCCCTGGAGGGACGCACCCGATGGGATCCCACTCGCGGGGACCCCACCCCTGTAACAGAGGGCCCGGCCCACACCGAACACCGTCCCGACCTGGCGGCCGTGGGCTGCCTCGGGATGGAGCCTCCTCCTTTACAGGCCGATAAAACCCTTCACGTTCTTTCCCCTCTCGCGGACGGCCCACACGGGAGCAGGTGCCCCCGGCCCCTCCGCGCCCCCGGCCGGACCCATCTTTCCCTTCCCCAGCCCCAGGCCGCGGTGCCAGCCGCCCTGCGCGCACCCCCCCGCGCCGCGCCGCCCCCCTCGCAGACCCACTGGCAAGTGCCGCGCAGCGGGGAACAATCCCGTCCGTCCTTCCCGGCCGCTCTCGCCGCCGCCGCTCCCTTTTGTTTTGCGGGGGAAGGCGGCACCCGCCTGCCCGCCCTCCCCCCGGACCC